ATTAATTAAAAAGTTAAATAAGTCTGTATATCTCATCTTACCATGCTATTGTGCATTGCAAATCTACACACACATGAAGTATATGGAGCATTTTCTAAATTTATTCAAGCATCTCTGTCCCCTTATGGGATGGACACTAATTTGGGAAATGTCAACCTAGGGTGTTAACACCTTCAGGGCAGAAAATTCAGGGGTAAATTTAATTTATATTTTAGTTAGTATGCACAAACACATTTGAAAAAGTTCTAAATAAATGACTGAGAAAGAGCCCCACTGATTGAAGGGGGACCACCAAGACCCTGAGCTCTGGCCTAAAGAGAGGTATCCTAGGTACTATTAGGCTGGGCAAGGGACAGTCATTCACTCATAAGAAAATAGGAGAGGCAGTGTCTTGTGAAAAAGTCTAATTAAAAACGTGTCACTCTTAATGGTCAAATGATGGCTTTAATCAGAACAAATTAGTTTAAAAACTGAAACAACATGGCAAATGCTAAATAAAATCCTATTTTAATGGTTTTAACCAAAAATAATAATAGGTTTTCTTTTCATCCACAGGGGCTGGGCTGAGTGAGAAGACCTGGGTTTGAAGCTCAAGGGAAAGAAACCAGACAAGAAGGTCCCAGGGGAGACAGAGCCTTCAGTCACTCCTTGAGGCAGGGGAACTCATTTGTCAGACTTGTGGAAGTGTCTGTGAATGCTGGGGTGGGGGAGGGGTGTGTGGAAATCACCATCAATTCCTACCTCTTTCCAAATCTCCCTCCCCTTAAAAAATTTAAAAAGTGCAGAAGCCAACTCTCAGAATAAATAATTCTATAATGTGCAAGAGAGCAAATTCAAGCAAGTTCAAGAACACAGACACATGGGTGAAGCATCTAAACAACTCTAGGTGATGCTTATTTTTGTGGCTAGCAGACATATGGAATTTAAAAGGGAAGCTTTATTTTCGGAGTTGATCTTCAGCATAAAACATGATCTTTAGAGTAAATACAAGTGTTTTTGGGGGAGGAGGGAAACAACGGGATTACAGAGTCAAATCTTCCTCATTCCTGGTTCTATCAATGTCAGTTTCCACTTTGTTCTAATTAAAGGAATATTGCCATCAAGAGTCATCTCTGCAGGAGATGGGTGAAGAGAATTTAGAGCTTCACTGTCTAGTATGGCAGCCACTAGCCCCAGGGGCTATTTAAGTTAATTAAAATTAAACAAAAATGAAAATTCAGTTCTTCAATTGCACTAGGCATTTTTCTTTTCTTTTTTTGTTTTTGTTTTTGTTTTTATCCTCACCCGAGGACATTTTTCCACTTTTTGTTCAGATAGAGTAGGAAGAAAGAGGAAGAGACAGAGAGAGAAACATCAACGTGAAAGGGACACATCGAGTGGCTGCCTCCTGCACAACCCAACCAGGGCAGGAGACAAACTGCAACTGAGGTGTGTGCCCTTAGCGGGAACCGAACCCGGGTCTCTCTGGACTGCAGGCCGATGCTCTAACCACTGAGCAAAACTGGCCAAGGTGCACTAGGCATTTTTCAAGTGCTTAATAGCCACATGTGGCTCTTGGCTACCACAACGGGCAGATTGTAGACTATTTCCATCACTTACAAAGTTTTAGTGGACAGCACTGACCTAGAGAAAGGCCGCTTACAAACGCTAAAAACAAAATTGTTCACTTCTCATTTGGTAAAAGAATTCTAAGTCCTACCCAGCAGAATTGACTTGACTTTGAATACTGTGGAGCTGAATTTAAAGGCTAATGCCAAAAATTCCATTATTATCTCAAAATATCATTGTAACCGGCCTGTCTGAAATCACTTTGCATTGACTTTGCATTGCCACAAGTTGTCTTTCAAAATCCAGACATGCCAGGAAAGGACTATTGGATGATCACAATAACTTGTTGAAGTTTCACTCACTTAGTTTGAAAGTGCTTAGAGCAATTTATCAAAAAACATAAAAATACACAGGTACCATCAGCTCCAGGATGAGGAAAATATGTACTACATACCTGGGTATGTCCCTAGCCTTTTCACGAACTTAGACTCATATTCAACAACCCCTGGTCTTTGAATCACACATTGAGAACTTTAGCACCTATCTCATTTCAGCCGCAGAGAACCTAATCACCATTGTAGTGTGGATTCTGAGCGTTGTAGATCCTTCTCGTGAAGGGGAAGACTGACAGGGAATACATTATCTTGTCTGTGGCTGTCTTGCTTAATTGGTAATGGAACTGATCCCAAGTGGCCAGATTATAGAGAAACCAAGTGGCTAAGACTGCAGGGCCAGCTAGTTTTCCCTCTGTCATTTTGGCAGGTGTCTTGCTAATCTGGCCACTGTACTGCGGTGGTGTGCCTAGTCACAGGGGAACAAAGCAGGAGGACAGACAAGAGTGTAAAGCAAAGTGATCTCAGAACAGGTAAAGTGAGCAAAACAAAAATCCCCTGCAAAGTCGTCGTAAGCATGACTGTGATAGCTCTATAACAGCGATGTTCAGCCTTTTCAAATCATGGCACACATGAACTAATCACTAAAATTCCGTGGCAAACCAAAAATATATTTTTTGCAGATCTGACAAAAAAAAAAAAAAAAGGTGTAATTTTGACTCATTCACAGTTATCGTTGTTTTGGCTGTTGTCATTTTTGTTTTTTATCCTCACCCGAGGACATTTTTTAATTTACCTTTCAGATAGAGCGGGAGGGAGAGAGGGAGGAAGAGAGAGAGAGAAACATCCACGTGAGAGAGACACATCGAGTGGCTGCCATCCACACGACCCCAACCAGGGCGGGGACCAACTGCAACCAAGGTACGTGCCCTTAGTGGAAACCAACCCCAGGACTTTCTGGTCCGAGGGCCGACACTAACCGCTGAGCCAAACTGGCCAGCGCTGTTGTCATTTTTTAATTTGACAATCTAGGGGGCAAAAGGTCAGTGTCCTGACTAAACAGATATCTCACGTTTTAAAAATTCTTGTGACACACCAGTTGAAAACCGCCGTTCTAAAACAAAGCCTAAACATCAGACATTATTATGTTCATGTAAAAAAAAAAACTATGCCATAGAGCAAATCTCCTCTGCAGAGCAACCTGTGAAAGGCACTTGATGTGAAACACATGAATTAAACAATTGTTATAAAGACACTTTAATATTGATTTAAATAATCTAAACAGATTGCCTTCAGCTAATGGCATATTATAATAATCATGTATTTTCCAAATACTTTATGTTTACTCAATGTCATAACATCTGCTATCTATTCATTATCGTTAGCAAAACTTCTTCATCCTTTTATTTACCATGTCCAGTTTTGAGTGTCCAACTAGGGGAGCTTGCAACACATTTATTACATGTGTTTAAATAAAGGACACACCATTAAAATTCCTATGCTATGCCTTGAAGATTAAACTCACATTTCTAGTTCATTAAGATATGACAGCTATTAGTTAATCTTGGAAACACGGTGTCTCTAGGACATGTAGAAGAAAACGTTTGGGATTTAATGAATGAGACCTGAGACTCTAAGATTCTTTGATCTGCAAATATCACATATATGAGCCTAACCATTTTTCTTTGAAAACTTTAAGTAGGTCAATTTATTAACTGCTACCATGGAGTTTATACATCCACATTTTCACCTATACTTTTGATGAACTGCAGCCCAGAATGGGGTTACAGCACTGCACTATCAAAAATCTGCCTTTGATTCAAGCAGACAAATGAAGAAGCAGAAAGTAACATTACTGTTTAGGCTTTGTTATTATAATAGACCCAGTAACTTTTTTTGTGTGAAACCACTGATAATAATTTATCAATTGACCCATCATATAAAGAGTTAGGAAACTCTTTAAGCATTAACATGGAAAATTCCCCAAGATATATTGAAAGTGAAAAGTGAGGTGCAAGATATATCCAAGAACCTTAAAAAACAAAACCCATCATTTATTATATTTGGTTCCCTAACAGGACCGGGCACGTAGGAAGTCATAATGGGTTCACTCTAGGAGAGGGGCTTCCATTTCAGCTGGGCTATGTTCTCATATTCGTAGTCACAATCCTAGCTTAGCCCTGAAAGAAGGTCTGGTGGGAATAAATCTGAACCCCCCACCCCCCAAAAATCAGTGAAATGTCTGAGATACAGTCAAGTGCAGTGGAGGTAGCGGTGGACTGCGGAGAGGGATGAGTGGAGAGAAAAGGAGTATGAATTAAAAATGGGAAAACTCGTCCTCTACTTTATTTGAGGAGGAGCAAAGCAGTGAACAAGGGCTCCCTCCATAACGCAAGCTAATGACTTTTATTTATTGTAACGGATGCCCCCAAACAGCCTGGGTGCCCCCACCGGCGTGTCCCCAGAGAAAGCCCGTCCCTCGCCGGCGCGCGCCCAGGAAGGGCAGCGAGGCTGTGCCTGCACGCGGAGGGCGGTGCGCAGGGCACGGCAAGTTGGTGCCTCGGTGCCGGGATGCCCGCTCCCGGGCCCGCCGACTTGGCTAACGGTAAAGTGAACAGCGAGTGGCAGCGAGGCTGGGGGGCCAAACTTGCGGTCGCCTCCGACCAGAGTCCACCCAACAACAAAAGGCCTGGGCATCGCTGGGGCTGCGGGTGCGGGCACCTGTCAAAGGACGGGGCTGGAGCCGCAGCCGGCGGGAGGCGCAGGGGCTCGGCGGCCGGCACTGCGGCGGCGGCGGGACCCGGGCGCGCCGGCTCGGCGCTCGGTCCGCGGGGAGAGTCCGCAGGGACTCCGGGAGCCGCCCGGCACCTGCGCCTCGCTCGGGGCGTCCGCTCGCGGGGGCTCGGGCTGGTGGCCCCGCGCTCGGGGCGCCCCGGGGAGAGTGACGGAGCCGAGCAGGGCCCCGCTGCCGGGCGGACCCCGCCGCCCGAGCCCCGCTGCAGCGCCCGCCGCCCCCGGTCTCTGCCTCCGGGCAGGGCGCGGAGCCGGGCCCGACTCCCCCTGGCTGCCCGGCGGGCCCGGGCGGAGGACGGGGCGCCGCGAGCGCATCGGGGCGCTTACCTGCTCCGGGGCGGCGGGGCCGCGGGCGCCTCGCGGGGCCGTGACCTGCGGCGGCGGCGGCGGCGGCTCCAGTCGCGGAGAGGAGGGCGCTTCTTTCAGGAAGGGGTGGGATCTGCCCGCCCGCCCGCCGAGCCGCGGCCCGCCCCCGACTTATTCTGGGGTCCCTGCTGCGAGGCCTCCGGGCGACAGCTGAACCCCCGGGCCTCCGCTTCCACCACCCCTCGGGGTCCCTAATAGTTACCGGGGCTGGAGCCGCGTGGGGACAGTTGAACCGCTTCTTTCCAAAGCCTTTGTGGACGCGCCTGCCTGGCGCTCCTCACCCAACAAAAGGAAGGACGGAGTCTGAGGGATCCTCCGCCTGGTGGTTATTTATTCCTGACCTGTCGTAACCTTCTGGCTGGCTCCCTTCTGTCCACACACCTAGGGTTTTTGCACATAGCAGCTAAAATCCATGCTTGTGCCCACCGGCTGAACGTAGTTCTCCGCCACTCGGCGCTCTCCCGCGGTTTTCTTTCATCGTAAAGAACAAACAGGGGCCAACTTCTGACCCTGGCAATGAATAGCGGACTCCAAGGCCGCCCTCCCATCACCAGCTCGCTCCCTTCCTCCCAGAGTCTCCTCCGGGTCTGTTACAAAACTGAATTCATACGCATTTTAATAGCTTCTTCCACCCCAGACCCGGACCTACCAGTGGCACCTTGTCAGTGACCTCTAGCAGCAGCTGGATCGGTGCCATTTTAATCACAGGCTCACCATTAACTTCTATTCCAAAAGTAGTCTTAGGGGCTCCCACACACAATGGGTCCCCCTTTATCAACCAGAACTCCATTCTTTTCAGGGGCCTCCATACCACTCCTGTCTCATTCATCTGTTGCTTCTCAAAGCACATGATTCAAATTCTCCAGGTTAACATTGGAGAACTCACCCTCTCCCCATGCTGTTGTAATTATTGTCTAGGTATGCATATACTGACTTGTTACTTTTTTCTCCTAGCTGCTAGATGGCCAGGGACCCGGCCTCTCCTGTTTTCCTCATCTTGACAAATGGGACTGTTACCCGTCCGGTTAAAATAGCAAAAACAAAAACTTGATTCTAATCTAGAACCCTCTGAAAGTATGTGCTAAATTTTTGTAGGGGTTAGCCTATGTGTATTTTTCTGAGAGAGTAACTATAGCTTCCATCAGACTCTCAAAGTGATCTGTCACTTTCTCCAAGTTAAGAATTGCTTGAGATCTATCTGTGAATGAACCCCGGCTCTGAGGTGACACCCCTCCTACCTCCAACCACTCTGCCTTGACTGAAAGAGCCCTCCAGCCAGACCTTCCAATCCATTCTTTAAAAACTTCTGGACCCATCCAAACAATTAGTGGTCCCTCTCAACTGTCTGCATATCAGAATCATGGGGGGGAGGGGGGAGTGCTTTTAAACAATGCAAATGCCTGGGTCCACCTCAGACCCCCTGAGTCAGAACTCGGAGTGGGGAGGGTGGGCAGTTGAGCCTAATACATGAGTATTTTTATAAGAGCCAGGGCTGATTCTGACATGCCCATGACTAAGACACTGCCTTTCTTGGGAATAGGATCCCTGAGTGGTAAAATGCCCTTACTTTTCCTTTTCTCTATGGAAGGACTGAGAATCCTTGCACTATGTTTAATTTATTTGAACATTTTCATTTCACTTAGAGCCAGGCTCACTTTTGCTTAAGAAGCCAACTTGAATTTGTGGAGATAGCAAGCTCAGTGCCATTTGTCAGCAGCATTACATCACTGCCACCTTCATCTCCAAAATGTCTATCTACATAAACCCAGAGTGAAATAAATTACATTCCTCACAGTGGTATTGACAGCTGAAATATTACGTTAAAATGCTGGCCATGGCCATGGACGGTTTGGCTCAGCAGTTAGAGTGTCAGACCAGAGTTGAGGTTTCGATTCCGGTCAAGGGCATGTACCTTAGTTGTGGCTGGGCCCCCTGCCCTGGTTGGGGTCCCTCAGGAGGCAACCAATAGGTGTGTCTCTTTCACATTAATGTCTCTCTCTCTTTCTCCCCCCCCCCCCCCCCATCTAAAGATAAATGGAAAAACATCCTTGGGTGAGGTTTGGAAAAAAATGCTGGCCATGAAGAAGAGTTGGTTGCTATACACAGATTCTGTTAACGTCATGAGAGTTTTAGTAAAGCTTCAAGAAAACTGAAGACAAACAAAACAAATTTAACTGTGCTGTTATCTTTCTTTTATTGGTCGTGGGCTCCTACCCACTAAAATATGTCCACCATATACTCAATATGACCTCAGATATTTTATATTATGTATAGGTGTAAAATTGAAATAGTGTCACACTGCTGGATGTCTTTTTTAAAATATGTGTATAAAGATTCATCTTGTATTCTTTTTTTTTTTTTTTTTTTGGTACATGCTCCTAGCAGGAACCGAACCTGGGACTCTCTGGTCCACAGGCCGACACTCCAACCGCTGAGCCAAACCGGCCAGGGATCATCTTGTATTCTTTTTTTTTTTAGTCTTCATCCGAGGACATTTTTCCATTTTTTGTACAGACAGAGCGGGAGGGAGAGAGAGGAAGAGAGAGAGGGGGAAACATCGACGTGAAAGGGACACATCGAGTGGCTGCCACCCGCACAACCAACCAGGGCCGGGGACAAACTGCAACCGAGGCACATGCCCTTCGCGGGAACCAAACCCGGGTCTCTCCGGACCGCAGGAGGACGCTCTAACCACTGAGCCAAACTGGCCAGGGCTCATCTTGTATTCTTGAAGGATGTTGACAGTGTTCCAAAAGCTTCAAGCTTTGAGGAAAGGGCCAACTACAGAACAAGTTTAAGGCCTGAAGACAGATGCCAGCCACAAACTTCCTGGGGTAGAATGGAGATCAATACGTAGGGACATAATCATGCCACAGGATCCCAATGAGGCACCAGCATGTTGTTCTACCAACTGTGCTGACCTAACTCTGGTGAATAGCACAGGCGTCCATCATCTGAGTAGGGGTGATGGAGTTTTTTTTGTATAAGTAAACTTATCTAACTGAAACAACTATAGACCATTTAGAATTACAAGGAATCTCTATATTCACATTCATTTCCTTTCTCTTGGACAGCCAATTTGTTGTTGATGAAGATTCAAATCGCTTCCCTTATTCAGTTGGAAAAACAGACTTGAGAAGCACAACTCTTTTTTTTTTATCCTCACCCGAGGACATTTTTCCATTTTTTGTTCAGATAGAGCGGGAGGGAGAGAGAGGAAGAGAGAGAGAGAAACATCGATGTGAAGGGACACATCGAGTGGCTTCCACCCGCACGACCAACCAGGGCCGGGGACAAACTGCAACTGAGGTACGTGCCCTTAGTGGGAACCGAACCTGGGTCTCTCTGTACTGCAGGCCAAAGCTCCAACCGCTGAGCCAAACCGGCCAGGGCGAGAAGCACAACTCTTAAATAACAGTTCCAGCATTCTGGGAATCCCTGCCACTGGTCACATTGCAATGAATCTAGTTATAATAAAAATTTCTGTATAATAAAGTTATTGCCAGACCTTCTTCAACCACCCATAATTCAAGTCTTCTCTGATAAACAACAAAACTACACAAAGTTCATTAAAATATCATTTGATTTTTACCAGTATCTACTTATTAAAGGAAACCTTGTAGGGGTAATTAGAAAGAGAATGAGCCCTGGCTGGTTTGGCTCAGCGGTTAGAGCGTCAGCCTGCGGTCCAGAGAGACCGAAGTTCCTGCTAGGGGCACGTGCCTCTGTTGCAGTTTGTCCCGGCCCTGGTTGGGTCTTGCAGGTGGCAACCACTACATGTGTCCCTTTCGTGTCAATGTTTCTCTCTCTCTCTCTCTCTCTCCCTCCCACTCCATCTGAACAAAATATCGAAAAATGTCCTCGGGTGAGGATAAAAAAAAAGAAAAAGAAAGAGAGGGAGAATACATTTGGTAACAGGATGTTCAATGGGAGCTGTTATTTTGTTTCCATTTTATCAGTCTCCACAAAATAGCTGTCTACCACTTTTACATTCCAAACAAGGTATAGGACTTGCGAAGGAGTGCTCCCTTGATGTCTCACTTACCTTGAAGGTATAAGAGGTTTGAAGTGGAGGCTGAGGAGCCTGTGGATTAGAGAGTGGTTTCTGTAGAGGAGTTGTAGGTGTTCTAAGAGCCCCTTTCCTATGTCGTCCCCGCCCCCCACCCAGGGGAGTGCAGAGGGTGACGGGGGCTTCACTCTCACCTTGAGTCTGGTGAGAGGCACTTTGGGCAGAGCTCTCAGAGAGCCCAGGACGTGTCCCTTGCAGTTTGGGGAGCACCATGGACTGGTGTCTACCTCATGCCTGAGAAATCTAAAGGGCCAGAGATGGCAAAAATGGCCTGAATACAGGGTAAGAACTACGGTGAGGAAGTGGTTTACTCCCACGGAAGACAAGCTTAGGAGAGTGAGACAGTGTGGGCTTGACTTTGATCCTACCGGAGAGACTGCTTGGAAAGTAAAGAGCCTTCAACAGAAAGAAGCCAGAGGTTTGCCTCCAGGTGCCCAGGGCCTGGGCGTGGGGGCGGGGGCGGAATCTAAGGCAACCAGTCAGAAGAAAAATGAACTTGCCTGTGCCAAGAAAAGAGGTGGTGAGAGATTCCTCAGCGGTGGTTCTGACAAACCCATAAAAGTGCTCAGGAGAGAAAGTGTCAGCTGGAAACATCTGCCATGGCCAGAGGGAGCAAGGCCAGCTGGAGCCCTCCAGAGCCTTTCTGCCTCCTCTTCCGCACTCTAATCCTGGAGGAGTCGGGCGGCCTAGTGAGTGTGGAAGAAGGGGAGGCGTTCCAGGCTGGGAGACATACAGAGGAAGCCTGCCATTACTCCCCTTTGCTACTCAAGTATGGAGTTTTTTTCTTTTACACTGCTCCTGACATATTACTGATATAAGGCTGTAATTTTGACTGAAAGTAACCAGAGGACTTTTTACTATTTAAGAGTGACCCAAAAAGTGATAGGGCCTATGTATTAATTCATCCAAGGGGCAGGAAAACAGCTAGCCCCACAG